GTCCTGGAGAGCCGCAGCCCTGCAGAGTTTTGCTTCAACCCTAATCAAACACACCTGAACAAGCTAATCAAGGTCTGAATGGTTTCTAGGAAGCTACAGGCAGGTGAGTTTTAATTAGGGTTGGAGCTGAACTCTGCAGGGCTGCGGCTCTCCAGGAACGGAGTTCGCCACCACTGCTTTAGACCATTAAAAAATGTTAAATCTTAAAATAAAATGTTAAGGTTACCGCTGCATCTTTCTGAAAGAAAAACAATGCAGCGATTGAATATAGTTTATTTATAGTTATTTTCATATCTTCAATCTACTGCCATTATAAAATAACTTCATTATTGTTTATTTAATTCTAACAAATAAGTTCTTTTTAAAAACTAACCAAAATTAAAAATAATTTGCTAATAATTTCTGCACAGGAGAGACTTGGTGTTGTTTCCAAACAAAAGGAAATATATAGGTATCGGCATCAGTTATCGGCCAAAATTAGTGAAAAATATCAAAAATCCAATATTGTGCATCCCGTGCATACAGTACTACTACTACTAATAAAATTATTATTAATTTTAATGGAATGTTTACCAGAAAAATTATTTACCAGAATGAATATAGCAGTATTTCTGGAAAAAAAATAGAAATAAATAAAATAATAATAAATTATTATTATTATTATTATTGAGAAAAAATTTTAACATTTCATAGGACTTTAAAATTTTTATTTTTGTTAAACTTAATAAATTTCTGTTTAATATTGTAAGTTTCATGATTTCAATTAAAGTTGTATTCATCTCAATTCAATTGATGAATAGAACCAAGTCACCACTAGGGTTGGACGATGTCTACAAAATTGGCATCAGAAGATGTCTACAGTGAAACATTGCGAGGGGGAGTTAGGGGGTGTGCCCAAAGCGTGAATCCATATTCAGAAAGGCACGGAAAACAAATAACGTTTGCTAACGGTTGCCTGTTAAATTACAGTAGCTACATAAAATTTCACGTACCACATAAAAGTGGTAAGTAAGGAGAGATGACTTAGGAGAGTACGTGCGATCGCGAATCTCGAAAGTGAAAGTGAAACTAAAACGCGATTGTGCATTCAAAAGTAGTTTCAGTTTCAGGCATAATAACGGCTCCCTGATGCCCGCAATTTATATGTATAATTGCCCAATGATATAACTGCGAGAGAAAATATTGAAATATATATTTTCCTCCCATCTCGTATTTATTCCCTTTAGGAGTTCCGTAGTACACGTTATTTTCTTTCCGAACACGGTACTGGGATGCGGCAGATTGCGCAGGGAATGGGGGGGATCACAATGCTGGCTCAATATCGTGATGTCTATCAGCCATCCCTATCGTCTATCGGCCCAACCTTAGTCACCACCACCCTACAATTTTTTCTTTTCTCGATAGTCTGTTTCACTCTGATGTACTTCATATGAAAAGGAAGAAAAGAACTGCTGATACTTCTATTTCTTTGTGACTTAACTCAGCAGTTTAGAAAAGTACATGCATAAGCATGCAATATACAAAGATGTCAATCAACAGCTCTGTATAAATAATACAACAATACGTGACCATTAAATATTCTTTCCACACATATAGCTAACCCCAAAAGAAGTGGAAAACTATAGCAATACTTTCTAAAACTTGCCTTGCTCATCATAATGTAACAGAGATGTTTGGTGACCCCATCAAGCTAAAAAAAATGTATGGAAAAGTTTCCTTTCTCTCTTATCGGAAGTCATTGTCATAACTGGAATATCTTCTGAGTGATCAGCATTCCAGATTGGCACCCTTTGTTTCGTAACAATAAGATTTGGGAAGTATTTTGGAACAGGATGAGAATCAGAATTTCAGCTGGGCTCTTAACAAAAGGAGGACATGCTAAACCCTCTCCACATAGCTGACTGGCATCAGTACAGTGTGTTGTCAGATGTGCTGTGCCCTTAGCATGGGGCACATTCCTGTCTTGAAGAGGAGCCATCAAACCTTTGTTCAACACAATCTCAAGGGAAGATTTGGTGACAGTTTTCAGCAGCTCGGGATCAATGATTCCTTTATTTTTCTCTGTCTCACCTTCCTTCTCTCTCACAATGTAAATGCACACGCATATGTGAGTACATCACCTCAGGTTTCATTTATTATTTTTCTCAGTTTCATCAAACACATTGACAAATGCCTCTCACTTAGAAGCAAAAACAGACATTCATACCATCAGTTAACTCAACGTATAGCAACTAGATGAGGCACACAGGTAATATCGGAGGAAATGAGATGAAGAGCATTTACAGGAAGCAGCATGTAGAGGATTAAAGACATGATTTATAAAGCATGATCCGGCCTAGCTAATGGTGTGTGTCAGCTACAAATTTACATATTTGCCCAGGCACACAACATCATATCAGCCAGCTACTAAATCAATCATAGCCACTATTAAAGAGTCTGCTGATAGGGGTTAGTGGAAATGAGCTCTTGAGCCTGGGGCTTGTACTGGCATGGTTACCTTTCTTCCATCAATCACTGATGCATCTGAGATGGCCATTGGTTACGGTTAGCTGTGAAGGACTCAAGTGAATTACATTGCTATTTACACCGAATAATGACACTTCCCACGCACAGGATGAGATACATTATGTAGGTTACACAACGTGGCCATATACGACTAGTAGTATCAAGTGACTTTTCATCCTGGAGGCAAAATCACATTAAGTCTAAGTTCACTTAAAGCAATGGTTCAACACAAAGAGAACCAGAAAACAGAAACAGAGAAGAAAAGGCCACAGAAGAGAGAGGTCAGTACTTCTGCAAAGCCGCACATGAAGGGAACACAATATGATTGGCATGTCGTTTTGTTGAGTGTCAATACAAGATCTGAACACTCAGTAGCAGATTACATGCACCCTGCCACAAACACCCCAAGTCCAAATGACAACCTTCGCATCTGTCTGCCATTTTAGGACACAATACTGGTGAAATCATATCCTGATGAAAGCTTTCCACTTTCAATAAATACATCAGTATTCCTGGCAAAAGCAATGAGAAACATTTCAGACACACTGCACACTTACATCTGCTTCTGCTCTCAAAATGCTATGTTGTTTGAATGGAGATGGCAAGCAAAACTA